ATTGTTTTTCAGTAAAGGTAGTTTATCCAAGTAAAGGAAAACCGCACTCAGTGTCAAACTATACAGTCCACCCCCCTGGGGTGTACCCTGAAGTTAAGAGGATATCTCTGGAACCACCACTGTTTTCACACTGTTCTCCAGCAGAAGAAGGAATCTCCAGATTTCTGCCGGTGGACCTCAGATTTAATCAACACTGACTTGACGGCAGTAAGCTCTTCTTGATGTTACCCTATTCTATCTTACCTATCACCTCCCGCTTTGAACTCTGGGCATCCCGTGCTAACCTAAATGCTGGCAGCTACAGCCCCACTCGGTTCCCCTCAGGCTTGGCCATGTGTTTCTACTCGTATCTTTGCAGCGGCTTTGAACTATTTCAGCATGCTAAATCATCAAGAAACTATCTCAGGCGAAGCGCACAGCTTCCTGCCAGCTTTGTGCTCCGCACAGGTTCAGTGTAAGGTCAGACAAGCTCGCAGCCTGAACACAGGGCAGGAGAGGCAGCAGGGGAAGCCTGGGAAGCCGGGCAGCTAAACTGGATCATCAGATTTCTCAAGACTTGAGATCTTGGTGGACAACTTGCTAAGCTTTCAGTGCTGATAATGTATTTGAACCATGTATATGCATGATCTGTACATGTACCTGGAGCAACAGCTAAGCAAAAAATATCAGTTAAAAATATATATTAAAAAAACAAATGTGATTTGGCAATTGGCTGAATTTCAGGTAGGACTGAAGCGCTAATATACATCCCCCAGATGACTGATCTACATACACTATTCACTACAGCCACTGGATACAGGCAGAAATTTTTTGAGAGATGCCAACAAAGCTTTCACTTCTGGCAGCTGGCCCTCCTGTTTTCCTTTTGCTCCTCACACCTCCTTAGGTACAGAGCACAATGTCTGTTAGCTTCTACTTTGCTGCCCAACATCACCTTCTTTGCATAATTGGAAAAATCAGTGTCTGTATTTCTTATTTTGTACAGAATTTAAAAATTGTTTTTAAACAAAAGAAGTACTGTTCACAGAATGGCAGCTTTGACCAACATTTTGAAGTTAAATTGAAAGAAAAGAAAAGGATGCCTCAGTTTTGGCAGCTTCCAATGCCGTTACTAGTTTTCAACTTTGGTATTTCAAATTTTTCAAAACATTGGCAATTTTAGAACTGCCTGTGTGGTTTTTGAGAGAGTGGAGAAACTAATTAATTATAATGGGAGCTAGCAGTAATCTCTACAGTAAAACACTATTTTCCACTAAAGAATTGTTCTTCTTTTTGACAGGTTCTGCTAATGCCATTTTTGTAATAGGCAACTAAAATTCAGTGAAGCTAGTCATCTGAAAAGAGAAATGCCTTTCCCCTACTGAAGAGGGCTTCAGATTATAAATAAATAAATTCACCCTATAATTTATCGCATTCTTCAGAAAATTCAGGTAGCTTATCAAAACAGATGAGCACAAAGGGAAGAGCTCCATGTGGCCTTAAAGAAAGCAGCTCTGTCATCTCACTGCAGCAGGAAAGCATGGAACTGCTGGAACAAGACAGGGATGGCAGGAAAAGGACCAGCATCAGTCTCTACTCCACCTTCGTACTGTAATCCCAGATCAACAGTGGGGCAATATCCTGATTTTCTTTCTCTCATTGCTCAAGAACATAAAATAAAGCAGAAACCTGACAAATTCCAAGACAGCAGAGGAAAAGAGCATGGAGCTGAGTTTTTCAATATAACTTCCTGAACACAGCAGATACCATCATTATCCTATATATCCCGTGGCAAAATAGCTTTCTCCTACTCCTGTCTATTAACTCTATGGCATAGAAACCTGCTGTAGTGCTCTCTGCTTACTGTCCTATAGTGCTTGTTTGACAATAAGTATTTTAACAGAGTCTGGTTATAGGGATACTGAAATCATGGACCACAACCCAAAGGCCTCATGGAATACTGAGTCGATCATACCCCAAAGCTCTCCATCTCTGTGTTCTCTCCTCCCACAGCACTCATCCTTGGGGCAGCCGAAGTGGTGCTTCACACCTAGTTCCACAGCCTGGAAGAAGCATTTCCAAGCATACAAAGTTGATGGGTAATGTAGGAAGAAGGAAGCAAAGACAGCCTTTAAGCTGTGATGGCAATTTCAAAACTATGCCATTAACTTGTGTCTGCCATCAATAAACACATACCTTTTCAAACGGAGAAGAAGGGAAACAAAACAAGTCTAAGATGCTTTACAGCTACTAAGAATTCATTACTTTGGAGGCCAGCTTCCATAAAAACTGGAGATAATATTTTAGGTAACAGAAATTAGTATAATGGGGGCTCGTTGCAATTCTATTACATAATTCCCCTTTCTTTATTCTCAAAAGCTCTGCCTATGCCAGTTTTGCAATAGGCAACTGCAACCCCCCCATGACTTACTTCAGAGATCCACGTGACACCCTCAATTCTAAACTGAACTTAAGCTGTAAACTTACATTTGTTGCTCCACAGTGCATAATATGGATACGGTTTGAATGTAAGCACTTACTGAAACAAAGGCCAAAATCTATTCCAGTTTGGGGAAAAAAAAACACAAACAATACTTTACTCTAAGTATAAAACAACAACCCTGACCCCTACATCCCACAATGTCTTTAAAAAAAAAAAACAACAAAACAACTCAACACCACACCACAACCTGAGGGGAAAAGTACGGAGAAAATTCTTTCAGAATTGTAGTATCTGTTTTTAATATAATTTCCCTACTTACATTTGTAATATAATGGACAATACATGACAGTAATCACTCTTTTTTTCCCCTCAGAAATGAGTATTTAGTGCTGGAAGCCTAAATTTTTGTCATGTTCTAAATAAAATCAAAACACTACCCATTCTCCTTAACTTGTTAGAGCTAAAGAAAGTTTCTTTTCTGAGAGGAAAACATAATGATTTCATGGAAACTGTAGCAGGTACTTTATAGATTTTTCCTCCTAACGATCTACACTACCATTGTCCTTGCAATATTCATGCATATTTGGCTGTGTTGAAATGTCAACCAAGGCAAGACTTCTTTTTTAAGACCGTATATTAAAATTGTTACCTACCAGTCAGAAGCCTTTTATGACACCAATATTTGAAAGATCATATATGAAGTCACATATATGAAGTTCTCTTTGTATTGTAATTGTTCTTTACCTAACTGCCTAAAATAGGCAAAATTAAAGGAAGTCATTTAATCTGCAAACCCAAATACCTGAAAGACAGAAATTATTGTTTTGTTTGCCTGTGCCACCTTAATTCCTCCCAGTTTTTCCAATAATTGAAGCAACCACCTCTTGGGAAAAGAAAGCAATCATAATTAAATGCTATACAGCAACATGAAAAAGGATTCATTAGACGTGCATGAGAGAAATAAGCACAACGTTTCCTAGTGGCTAAATAGAAAAACTGGAAACTAAAATTACATCAGTTTGACACAGCTGAAAAACCCAGTTAATTTAAATGAAATTATTTTAAAAAGAAAATCAAGAACCCTACCATACACCAACCAATTTTGAGCCTTGAGTGTCCAAGACCAGGCAGTCTGCTGACGCTTAGGCAACCTGTTCAGCTGACAGCAGCAAGACCCTTATTCCCCCACTGTGGGCTGACCCTAGCCAACAGCCAAGCCCACAGCCAGCTGAGCGCTTGCTCCCTGCTCCCGCGGGATGCTGAGAAGACGGAAGGATGGTGAGGAGACTTGTGGGTGGAGGTAATGATGGTTTAATAGGGAAAGCAAAAGCTGCATGCCCAAGCAGAGTGGAAAAAGGAATTGATTCGCTGTTTCCCATCGGCAGGCAGGTGTCCAGCCGCTTCCTGGAAAGCTGCGCCTCAGCATGCCCGTCAGCAGCTCGGGAAGTGGAAGACAAATGCCATAACCACAAATGTCCCCCCTTCCTCCTCCTTCCCCCCCAGCTTTTATCGCCGAGCTACATGTCAGATAGCACAGAATAGCCCTTTGGCCAGTTTGGGTGGGCTGTCCAGCCTGGGGGAAGCAACCCATTTCCCCACTGGTG